CAGTTGAAATGGGAAGGTGCAGGGAAATCAGTTTCAGCATGATCCAAAACATTTGTTTTTCACTTTAAGCTGACATAAAAACCTGAAAATATTTTGGTTTGGGTTGAAACATTTGTTTCCTTTGGGAATGCTTTTTCTTTTCTTAAAATTATGTTTACTACAGCTTTCTATAAAAAATATCATTTAAAAAATAAAACAGTGTTTTCATTTCCTCACTGTTCTTGTAATTTTGACTGCAGATGAGACTGTTTCCAAGTTTCACCAAAATCCATAGGTGGTTTTGCTGACTTGAAACTGCATCTTTTGGCAACAAAGCTCCATACCAATTTTTTTGCTTGACCTTACTGGTCAGCTCGTGCTACTGAGTCAAAAATGCCCAGTGACCACCTGTCAACCAGATTCACTGGAAGCAACATACATGCAGGTAATGTCATCAGCATGCTACATTATATCAGTTGTGGACTCAACTGATGATGTGTAAACCAATAAAAGGAAAGCAACAGTATTTTTTTTTTTTTCACTCCCTCAGACTGAATTCCACTTGCTTAGTGTAACCAGGAGGAAAGGGGAGGGGAGTAAGGGGAGAGGGGAGTTCCCCAATATTATTTTAACCAGATATGTTGTAGATTTGAATTCAGTGCGGGGGGGGGGGGGGAGGCATGAGAAAGAGTTATGCATATAGTACATGGCCCCAAGATTTTGTGCAGTTCAAGATTTTGTGCAGTTCAGCAATAGCTAGTGCATGTTATTCATCACCTTGCACTTCCTCTGAAAAGGCCTCTTTCCCCTTCTCATTAGAAACATAATAAATAAAAATAAATACAAAATCCAACAATCTTCTGCCCCTAGTAGAAAGCCAATAATGCCAGGACAAAGATTTTGTACTACAGAGAGCATTTAAATTCTTTCCTTTCTTGACGTGATTTTGTAGTTCAGGTGGGAATGGCTAGAGAAGTAACTTAAAGGGGGCAATAAGTCCTGACACACAAGGGAAATAAAAAAACATCCAGAAGCACGGGACGGATGCTGGGAACATACCACTGGTGAGATAAGTAAGTGTGAGAAGCA